ACAGCCGGTCTTTTGAATCTCATCATGGGAATTGTAGTCCCTTCTACTATTGGTTCTGTCCCCTAAAACCATTCACTGGCCCAAAGTGGCATAGTGCTATTATTTGTATAGCTTTATAAGTGCCAGGCACTGTTTTAAGCACATTTTAATCAACATTTAATAGAACTGCCCTAGCCAGTTTGGCTCAGTGGATAGAGCTTCGGCCTGCAGACTGAAGGGTCCTGAGTTCGATTCCAGTCAAGGGCACATACCTCAGTTGCAGGCTTCTGTCCTTTTTTGGGGGCATTCGGGAGTCAATCACCTGATATGTCTCTCTCTGTCTCTCCCTCTCCCTTCCATTTTTTCTAAACATCAATGGAAAAAACATCCTAAGGTGAGAATTTAAAAAAAAAACACAAACATTGAATATACTCTGAGAAGAGTATTTTTAACCCAGCGACACCGAGTTTAAGTAACTGCTCAAGAACACAGAGCTTCTAAGTTTTGGCATTAACAACTGAATCCAGGCAGTTTGTTTCCCGAGATTCTCTCTGTCAGGAAAGAAAACGACTTTGTAGGTTACTAGCACACCACCCTCTCTCTACCTTCCCATTTATCTATATCTCATCTGCTTCTCCCAACAGTACTGTTAAACCAGAAAGGCATACCCATTTTACAGATGAGAAAAAAGTCCAGGGAGTATAAATCAAGCTGCTCTACAACCCGTCTTCTGCCCTCCATTTAAACACTTCTCACACTATCCCATCTTGATTTTGAGGCAGCAGATCCTAAAAGTAGGCTCTAGAGATTAGGCACCTGAGCCATGCTCTACACATAAAAATGGGTATCAAGGTATCATTTTCACACATGGTTTAACTCTCTAAAAAAATCTAATATATTAAAGGAATAAACCATCAACTTAAAAATGGCAAGTGATCATGAGACTTGGAGGAACTGTGTGGATTTAAAAATGTAAAAACACTGGTCTGAGGCTTCAAACCAAGAAAGTAAAGGAACATTTCACTGTGCATTAAGCATACTGCTGAGGATACAAATCAGACCCCATCTGTACCCACACTTCACTCAGCAGCCACCAAAGTATTTCCTTTCAGAAGAGTACCCCAAAATCACCAGCGACAAGTGCTCTGACTTCTGGTGAGTGTGCGTCCATCCTCCCAGTACATAAAGGCAAGTATCCCGCAAATGTCCTAACTGTGCTCCTCCTGGCTCCCAGGAGAGGAGTCCTAACCTTGCTGCTTCCCCGCCTGGCCGCCTGACCCTAAGCACGCAGCATGCTCTCTCGGGGTCTTGCTTTTAAAAACATGGCACAGCTCCTAACTCCTAATGAGGAAATCGTTCAACTTAAAGGGTCCCAAGGACCCCGAGAAGGGCTAACGTGCACACACAGTGGTGTTCACAAAATGCTAAAAGTTTGGACAAATGTTTTTATCCTTCCTAAGCAGCACCTCAAAAGAAGTGAAAAATGGGTTTTTCTGAATCAGAAGATGGAATTTGAGGCACTGAAGCGGCTTTCTGCCCTGCTATGTGAACCTTACTATCTCCCACCCCCATTTCTCCTCCAAACAATTTCTGCCACAAAAGACATAACCAGCCCTGGCCGGGTAGCTGAGTTGGTTAGAGCATCATCCTGACACACCAAGGTTGTGGATTCTATCCCCAGTCAGAGTACATACAAGAAGCAATCAATGAGTGCATACACAAATCAATGATTCTCTCTAAAAAAAATAAAAATATATATATATTATATATAATATATAACATATATGTTATATATATATACATATACACACACACACACACACACACACACACACACACACCATATACACTCCCATAGATGGAAAGTTTTTAAGATTTTGGCCTCAGAATTTCACTTCAGGATAGACGATAAGATTACTCTCACCAATTTCTTTTTGAGAGTGAGGAAGGGGAGGAGAGAGAAACATCGAAGTGAGAATAAAACGCTGATGGACTGGGAACTGAATCAGTAACCTTTTGGTGCCCAGGACGACACCCCACAATGGCCAGGCTGCTCACCAATCACGAAGTTCCTAAAGCCTCTTAGTAACCAATTTGTTTAGATCAATAAAACGCTTAGAAATCTACTGCTGATGCAAATTAAACGATACAAAATTCCTGTGGTCATTCCTCACCCAGCAATTCTCATATCCTGCAGCTAAAATATATTGGGCCTACAGGAAGAGGAAGCTTTTTCTAGATGTCTCCCAATTGTGAGCAGCTGGTACTTTGTTAAGGACCTAATTCCCTAAAACCAAACACAACAATAGTAGTTAGTCAAAATTTCAACTTCTTGCCCTAGCCCAGTAGTCGGCAAACTGTGCTCTGTTGACTAATGAGTTTGCCGACCACTGCCCTAGCCGGTTTAGTCCAGTGGATAGTGTGTCAGCCTGTAGATCGAAGGGTCCCAGGTTCGATTCCGGTTAAGGGCACATACGTGGGATGCATGCCCCTTCCCAGCCCATGCCCTGGTCGGGTGCATACAGGAGGCAATCAAGCGATGGGTTTCTCTCACACTAATATTTCTCTCTTTCCCTCTCTCTTCCACGCTCTCTGAAAATCAATGGGAAAATATCCTCGGGTGAGGATTAAAATTTTTTTTTCAACTTTTCTGAGTAGAGTACAACTTTGGATAAATAAACGCACTATTCTTAAAAAATAATCTTTTTTTAAATCTACTTTAATCCATCCTGTCAGAACAATGAGAAAACCACTGTAATACCATCAGCAGCTTCTTACCCTATCCTTCACATAAAAATCTGGATAGAAATGTCACAGCGCTTTGAAAAACATTAAAGTGAACGAAGTTTTCACCAGAGGAAGCAGGGTGGTTCATGCCGCACCCCGAAAAGAACGTGCATTGAGAAGAAACCAGAAACAATGCCTCATTACCCAGAGCTCCACGGGGCCTCCCAAGTCTTATTCCAGAACCTGGGGCTTAGATTGCTCTCCGTTGCAAGGCTAAAACGAGCAGTAAGCGGCAGGAAGCAATAGGAAACAAGAGTTCTGGCTAAGGCTCAGTTGTGATCTTAAGAGTTCTTTTTTGTGCTTCGGTTTCTCTCCGTAAAAATAACCTCCGGCTTCCATATAGGATTCCCTAAACAAGGAATAATGCAAATCTTCTCAACAGGGACAACTATCAGCAAGGGACCCTATAAAGTGCTCTATAAGGATGACTAACGAGCATCGTGATGCTCTCCTAAAAGAACGTAGTTATTTATGCGTACATCTGAATGCTGTTCCTTTAAAAAAACAAAACAAACAAACAAAGGAAGCTGCACTCATTTGAAAAATGCTGCCATCACTCAAAAGTTTAAATATGGAGTGGCTCAGTGGTTGAGCGTCACAGGCCCAGGTGGTGGGCTCGATCCCCAGGCCAGGGGCGTGCAGGAGGCAGCAGATCAATGATTCTCTCCCATCACTGATGTTTGTTTCTTTCTCTCTCTCTCTCCCCCACCTCTCTGAAATTAATAAAAATGATATTAAAGAAAAAAGTTTAGACATTTTTCCAGATTTTCGAGTAAGCAGTTCATCTTTCTGAACGCACAGCAGTGGAATAGGGATATTGCTCATTTCAATGTATGTCTTGCTTACTTCCTAGAAAGAATCTATGTAGCTTACATTCACAACATTTACCCTCATTATAGAGCAGGAAGCTGTATCCTTCCCCAGGTGACCTCTGGGGAAGGAACCTTTCTTTAAATATTTGTACTTGTGAAAAAAAAAAAAGAAAAAAAAGGGCCATGTGACTTTGTAGGTGCAATTCCCATTTAGGGAGGAGGGGAGTCAAACTCCACATCTTCACACATCAGCTCTCCTCTCCCTCCTACCGTTTCTGACCACTGCCTCCTCATTAGCCAGGGTGGCACTAGGCGTCCATCCCTTTTCTGAAAGGTGATTTTCTGAGTGTAAGCCTGACCCTCACACTGAACAAGGACACAGGGGCCGTACCCTGTCCTTCAGACACAAAACCAGCTTCTCAGCCCCACATTCTCACTCAGCGCCTCTGCCCATTGTCCATACCGGAGAGCGTGCCCCTATGAAAGCAGGCGGATGAACGCTTTCGTCTCCTCCAAATTTCGCTAACTTCCACACGCGCACACCAGGTGATCTGGCAGTAAGGACCCCTTGCCCGTTCTAGGAATGACTTTTTAGTACATTCCAGAAAACAGCGTGAAAGCGACACAACCAGCTACCGAGAGGAGAATGTAGCCAACTGCTCACGCTCACGAAGAACGCAAGGCGTCTTCATCCGAGAGATGGCAAAAGGTCAAACTCAGAGCCCAGACTCTGCTGCTCCGATGATTATTTTAGCGATTATGCGTGTGCTCATCTATTGCTCCCCATTTCACTTTACTGGCTGATTTTTTTTTAAAAAAAACAAACAACAAAAACCACCACCACCACCACCAATAACTCTTCCAGGGCAGCTGGCTTGCTCCATCCACCCCACCTGGAACTTTTATCCCCAAAGGAGAAACAAGCCGTCCTCCTGGGAGGCACTTCCCTCCATTCAGGCTGCAAACCTCATCCTTGAAGCTGCCGCCAGTTTTCCCAACTTTCCTTCGGGAATAACTTAGAGCCACCGAGAGGCAGGAACAGCCACGGAGCCCTTGGAATGGCGGACCTCCCTCACAGGCTTCTCTTGCTTCGGAATACCTATTCGTTTTGTACCCAATGGTGCCCCCCTTTGAGATTTTCACTTGGGGGGGGGAGAGGGCTGGAATTACATTTCAAAACAAGGATGCTCCAGACCGATCACGCTGAGCTTTCAAACAGGCCTGCGTCTTTTCTCCCAAGAAGAATGGCGTGGGAGGAGGAATTGGGGGGACATCGGACCCCAGCGATGGGACAGTGAGGGCTGGGACTGCTCCCTCTAGGATGTCCCCTTCTGACCTGTGTATGTGGGGGGCGGGGGGGGGGGTGAAGTGGGGGGCGGAGAGGAGGACAGGGGTCGCAATGCCACTTCATAAGACACTCACCTTGAGGATTTTGACCACCACTCTCTCATTGTTGGTGATGTTGATGGCCTCAAACACTTCACTATACTTCCCCCGACCAAGTTTCCGGACCAGCTGGTAATCATCTTGATTACTGTGAAAGGCAAAGAGGGACACATCAGTGCCAGGACTTGGGGTTCACCACCAAGCACGGACCCCACCCCCCAGACGCCCCCCACGGCCATGCTTCCAGCCCTCGGAAGCGCCGGTCCCGCCGGCCACCACTCCCTCCCCACCCCAAGGCCCCGGCAGGCGCCCCGGGCCGGGCGGGCACCCTCCGAAGTTGAGAGGAGGGAGGGAGGGAGGCCCTGCTCTGAGCCCATCGGGATGGGGATGGGGATGGGGATGGGGCTGGGGGAGCGGGGCGCCGGCACCTGCCCCGCACCTCACCCCCGCCCTCCACGCCTCGCGCCTGCCTGGCTCCGGGAACCCGGGCGTCTTTTTAAAAACGTGGCCCCGTCCAGACTCACTTCCAAAAAGCTGCAGACCAGGCAGGGGGCGGTGAGGGGTCCGGGGGGGCAACTGTGGCCTCCCCACCCCTCCCCGCCGAGCCCAACGTGGGCGAAGGGGCCGCTCCCGCCCTCCCGCCAGGCCGTGCCCGGACCCCTCGCTCCCCCCGCACCCGGGGCGCCCCTCGGGGGGCAGGGGGGCCGCGGGGAGAGGGAGACGGGGCCAGGGCGCCGGGGCCGGGGCTGCCCCCCCCTCCCTCGGGGCCGGGACGCGTGGGCCCGGCGGGCTCCGGGCCGGGGCCGGGGCCGGGGCCGGGGCGGCGGCTTTACCCCCAGCTCGGGACGTGAGCCTCGTAGTCCCAGTAGTCGCGGCTCCTCAGGCTGTTCACCTCGGCGTAGACCCGGGCCCTGCTGCCCGCGGCCGGGCCGGGCATGGCGGGCGGGACCGGGGGGCGCCGCGGGGCGCCGGGGGCGGCGGGGCGCGGGGCGCGGGGCGGCGGGCGGCGGGCCGCGGGCCGGAGCAGCAGGCGGAGCGCGGCGCCGGGCGGCCACGCCAGGCCGGGCCGCGGGGCGGGGGCGCGGGGGGCGCCGGCCGGGCGGCCGGGCGGCCGGGCCCGGGGGCGGCGGGCGGGCGGCGGGCGGGCGGGCGGCGGGCGGGCGGGCGGCTCTCGCGCGGCGCGGCGGCCTCTGCTCGGCTCGCGGCCCGAGGCGGCGGCGACGGCGGCACCAGCAGCGGCGGCCGCCGGCCGGGAAAGGGGCAGCCGCGGCGAGGAAGGAGGAGGAGGAGGAGGAGGAGGAGGAGGAGAAAGAGGAGGAGGAGGAGGAGGAGGAGGAGGAGGAGGAAACCCGGAAAAGGGGCCGCTCTCTCCAGGAGCGGCCGCCGCCCGGCCCGGCGCCGCCCGGCCCACAGCGCCCCCTGCCGGCGGGAGGACCGGCGCCCCGCCCCAGGCGCCCCGCCCAGACCCGCTGCCCGAGCTCGCGTCTCACCCTGGCTGATGGGCTCCCAGAGCCCCCCCCCCCCCTCAGATCTGCTGCTCACCCCTTGTGTACCCTTATCGGGATCCCTACTGCAACCCTCCACCCTCTATTCATCCGGAGTTGACCCACCCCACCTCCTACAAGGACCCTAATTCGAACCTCCTGCACCCCAACCTGTTCCCATCAAGTCCTCTCCAATGAGCCACTCTTAGGGCTCCCCACCTCGAGATGTGTGCATCCCTCCCCCGGACACCCCTCTTCCGCATGGAGCCTGCCCTGTCCCTATAGAAACTCGTCTATCTCAAGACTTTCCCTGCCCCCTGCGTCCAGAGCCTTCCTCCCCAACCCCGCTCTTCCTCCCCACCCTTGCCCAAGCGCCCTCTGAGCGTTCACATCGGGCCCCTTGCTTAAGCTGGAGGGGGGGTGGGGGCGGGAAGGTGCTCACTGTGAAGTTCCTGTTTTCCCCTTTGTCATGAAAAAGCAATGTGTGGGGGGTGGGGAGAGAAGGGGGGGTGGTCCTAATAAATATAAGGTGACTGGAGGAGAAGATTTGGCTTTGGGTGGTGGGCATGGGGTGCAATTATACAGGTTTTGTAACATAGAAGCCCACACCTGACACCGATACGTTCATGTTGACCCATGGCACCCCCAATCAATTGAATAAATATATTTTTTAAAAGCGATTGGGAGGTGGGAGGGAGATAAATAAAATAAAAAATAAAAGCAATTTGTGGTCCTAACTGGTTTGGCTCAGTGGATAGAGCGTCGGCCTGTGGACTCAAGGGTCCCAGGTTCAATTCTGGTCAAGGACATGTACCTTGGTTGCGGGCATATCCCCAGTAAGGGGTGTGCAGGAGGCAGCTGATTGAGTTTCTCTCCCTCTCCCTTCCTCTCTGTGGAAAATCAATAAAACATATTAAAAATAATAATGATGGCACCTACTACATAGGTCAATGGGGAGCATCAGGCCAAGTAAACCATGTAAGACTCTTAGAACACTGTCCAGCAGCCATATTTTGCAATTTTTTATTTGTTTCCTAACTTATCGTCTGCCTCCTTGACTGCAAAAAAAAATAAAAATAAAAAATAAAAAACCAGCATGAGAGGAAGAACTGGGTCTGTCTGCTCATCCCTGACTGACCCAGCACTTGCCACAGTCGGAGGCTTTCAGTAAACCCAGTGTAACCCCACCGCTCACTTACTAATTCCAAAGGGGAACCCAGAGTTCATCGCTTTAACCATGAATCAAACTGATCTTCAACCAGGGACCAACTGGCCCTCTAGCATGATGCACCAAGAAGGCACATGGCATCTGTCCAAAATGCTCAACTTGAATCTCATCACAGGAACACAATCAGACAAATTCAAACTGGGGGGGTGGGGGGGGGGTGGCACGCTATACAACAGCTAGCCCGACTCTTCAAAAATGTCAATGTCACACCCTGGCCGGTTTGGCTCAGTGGCTGGAGCATCAGCCCCCTATGCTGAAGGGTCTGGGGTTCAATTCCCGGTCAAGGGCATGTACCTCGGTCTCAGGCTCAATCCCCAACCCCAGGGAGCGTGTGCAGGAGGAGGCAACCAATTGATGTGTCTGTCTCACATCAATGTCTTTCTCCCCCCCCTCCCCGCCCCCACCCTGCTTCCTTCCCTTCCACTCTGTCTGAAAAATCAATGGGACACGTAGCCTCGGGTGAGGATTAAAAAAAATTTTTTTTTCTTTTCAATATGACAAAAGAAAACAAAAGTCAGAAGTAGTGTCCTTGATGAAAGGAGCCTGAGAGATATGTATCTATGTGTCTGGATTGGGTCCTGGATAAAAAAGGCAGGAAGGAAAGGAGGGAGGCGGGAGAGAGGCAAGGAAGAGCACACAGCTAAAGGAATGCTCCTGGGACTGCTGGCAAAATCTGAATAGGGGAGAAGGAGATATACGTTACGTAACCGTATAGTTCCATAGTCGTGTGGGTAAGGGGTAGACTGTGGTTACTGAGCTGCCCGGCCAGGGCCCTTCTCAATCTCTTAACACAGCCTTAGGATTTCTTCCTGACAAGTTTTTGCAAACTAGTCAAGATCAGTTCTTCTTCTTTTTTTAATCTTTACTGTTGAAAGTATTACATATGTCCCCTTCCCTACCCCCCCACCCCCCGCCATTGACCCCTTCCAGCCCACCTCCGCCCCAACCCAATGTCTCCACCTATGTGGTCTGTGTCTACGGGTTATGCATATATGCATACAAGTTCTTTGGTTGATCTCCTCCTACCCACCCTCCCCCACCTTCCTTTTGAGGCTCAAAAGTCTTTCAACTGGAATCCTTGTATGAACTTTCCGGGTTCCAGAAACCCCCAACACTGTGTGCAAAATGTGTGTGTGTGTGTGTGTGTGTGTGTACGCACGCACACATGTATCCTTTCCTTAGCATCCATGAGATTCTCAAAGGAGCCATGACCTAAAAATGGTTGCAAACCACTGGTCTAACCACCAGGTCCGCCCCCAATTGGGGCCGCATTCCTTGCCTCCACCCTCGCCCACCTCTGACTCCATCCACCCTCCCTGCGCCCTCCTCTGATCCTCACCACCGAGCCCACACTCCACGCCCATCTCATGTAACCTGCTCCACACCTGCAGCCCTGCCCGAGGGCTCACCCACACACCGCTCTGGCGCAACGGCTCCAGGATGCAGCTGACGCTTCCGACCTCAGCCCTGAAACCTGCAGCCAGTCCTCCCACGGCCGCATGGAGCATGTTCGCGTGGTCTGTGGGTGGGTAGCATGGCTACCTCATGGAACTGGCGGAGACGCACCACCTCTCCTTACCAGCCCTCCGACGGTGTGCGTGGTGCGGATTAAGATGAGCAATTAGCCCAGCCGGCGTGGCTCAGTGGTTGAGCATTAACCTATGAACCAGGAGATCATGGTTCGATTCCCAGTCAGGGCACATTGCCCGGGTTGCTGGCTCCATCCCCAGAAAGGGGTGTGCAGGAGGCAGCTGATGAATGATTCTCTCATCATTGATGTTTCTGTCTTTCTCTCTCTCTCCTTCCTCTCTGAAATAAAGATATATATATATATATATATATATATATATATATATATATATATAAAATTTTTTAAAAGATGGGCAACCCTCACTGAAGACATAAATTTCAAAGTGGCTCTGCAGGTGTGTGTGTGTGTATGTGTGTGTGTGTGTGTGTGTGTCAGGACAGTGTTCTTCATTGAACCAGAATCAACTATCAACTTTCCCTAATTACGCCATGTGTGTGGGTTTGAGGGTGAGAATCATTCAGGTTATATAGGAGAGAGTGAAAGAGGGCATCATGAGTCAAATAGCCCAACAATTTCATACCAACTTCTCCTATGACTCCAAATTCTATCCAAACACCCCTCTAGAAAAACCAACCAAAACCAAGACGAACAACAATGTTAAATCCTCAGAAGAACACCTCCTCTCTCCACAAGGCCTAGTTCCCCAACATTTAAGAGGTTGCAAGATCATAGTCTAAGAAAATAATGCCAACTGTGATTCAAAAAATGATTAATAGTAGTGACAAGTTACATATATGTTCAATATCATTGAGTCGTGCAAAAATCCTGAGGCTAAAAACCATTATGAATTATATCTCAAGAAAACTGTAAAAGAAAAATTAACAAGATTGTGTGTGTGGTAATGGCTCCCTTTTTGCAGTGCAGAAATGAAGACTCTAAGGACACAGATAATTGAAGGGAACTGGGTTTGAACTTAGGTCTTTCTGACTACCCAGTCCATTTCCTTAACCCTCTTAGGATTCAATATACCCCATTCATCATAAAAAGCATCATCTTTAATCATGAACCTGTAAAACCACTTACATACCCCAAATTGGGGGATCATTTAGAGAAATTGTGGTATGTCCCTCCAGAGAAGTAAAAGGCATCCCTAAAATTTATGATTATTGGAAATTTTTAGTGATGAGAAAAATGTTATTATATACAGTAGGTTTATATATAGATACATTTTTCTGATTTCAGAGAGGAAGAGAGAGAGAGATAGAAACATCAGTTATGGGAGAGAATCATTAATCAGCTGCCTCCTGCACGCCCCACACTGAGGATTGAGTCTGCAACCCAGGTATGTGCCCTCAATGGGAATTGAACCCGTGCCCTCCTGGTTCATAGGTCAATGCTCAACCACTGGGCCACACTGGCCAGGCTCATAAGCACTTTTATAAGTTATCACAAGTAATTGTGATAAGCAGAATAATAACACTCTCCCCACCTTTTCTACTATTGAGGATGCATAACACCACCTATGTTCGCTTGTCTTTTTTAAAAAATATATCTCTATTGATTTCAGAGAGGAAGGGAGAGGGAGGGAAGCAGAAACATCAATGATGAGAGAGAGCCGGGACCGGTTTGGCTCAATGGATGGAGTGTCGGCTTGAGGACTGAAGAGCCCCGGGTTCGATTCCAGTCAAGGGCAT